TTGGCCAATTTAAACTATGGTGCTCTGACTCATGCCACAGTCAGCTCCCATGTACCTTTGGCCTGGAGGGGGAAGTAGCAGTGGAAGGTGGCTGTACTGTAGCAGACAGGAAAACTACTCTGCTATGGCTATGGCCAAGCAGATTAGGACTGACTTGCTTGGCCATGGGTAGTATGTAGCCTGCAGTAGGGCAGAAAGTATACTCTCTGAAGATTGAGAAAGAGGGGCCATACATAAATACCTGAAAACTGAAAAGCTTTTGCTGGATAAGTCAATAATAAAACCCATTCTTTCTGCAGGTGAAGGGGTGGAGATCAGCAATTCTTAAAAGCCAACAGGTTAAATTTGTAGATTTGAGCTATGCTTGCTTTCCATAGGGATCAGGAACATTACATACGGTTTCAAATCCTGATTATATTACAATGTAGGTTATCAATAACCAAAGTTGCTCTCATGGCTGATATTGCCTTAAAGTGGGAAAGAGGTAGCATGTACTTTTGTGTCTGGTCCCCAATTCTCTAATCAATATCAACTCATTCCGTAATTATAATTCCCTAATCATAGCAACTAGCATGATGACTATACTCTCTCTCATACCAACCAATTAGAAGAGATGACGACCATGATAAAAAAATCTTTAAAATGTATCCAGAGGAATGGATTGGATAAACACTTAGTTTTCCAACTTTGCAATTATTTATGGCACATCGAAACACAGAACACTTTTCTGAATAAAATGCAGATAAGTCTTGAACAAAAGGTCACTTGTTTAAAAATCAAACAAAAAGAATCTGAAATTAATTAAAGAAGCTGGTAGCTTAGAACATCTGATGAAAGAAACATAAACAGTACCTTATGGACAGATGGTAGGAACTGTTATTCATATGTGTACTTCAGGATATAATAAAAGCTGATCACTAATAATCACTGGGCAAAATGGCTATAATAAATTCTCAAAATGATCTTATTTTGACATTTCAATATCTTTAAAACATAATGTAAAAAGTACATAGTTACTAAATATTTCCGCCCATGTTTTAAGTTGATGGGCATTATGATGTTCAGACTTGCACTAAACTTTCTGCACTGTGAACATTCTCATGGTGCATGCATGATTACTTCATTAGCCACATGTGTGTACTTGAATAAGAAGCCTCTTTGATTTTTCTGGTTAAAATAAATGCATGTTTTTGTGCTTTCCCACTCAAGATTTTCTTATCAAACTGTCTGGGGAAAATCCTATGCTTAATCTAGTGTTCCTAAAACATTTTTCTAAATTATCTTTTTTGACTGGTGCTCCAATTGCAATATAAACATTAGGCAAAAAAGTATGTTTATTTTTATATCATATAAAACATATAAAAATATCTAAAAACTATCCCCATTGCACCATATCAAAATGGAACATAATAGGTTGTCAAAGAAATTCATCTTGTATCTCAAAAACAACCAAATCTTACATATTCCCAGTCCACTAAGAAAAATGCAGCTTCAGAACTGCTTATTCCTGAGATTTTATAGTCAACTTCAGTTAACTTCAGTCTTTAACACATTTATATAATAGTTCAGTGTTCAAAAGTTCATAAATATCTGGTCTGAAACCAAAAAACCACAACTAGTTCTATGCACCTACATCCACATTGGGCTTTATTGGACAGATTAGCTCAGCATACCCCCCAAATTTTTTTGAAATTGATGAGAATGACCAAAGCAAGCTGTGATGCAAAATGGGGACTTTTGGGTCCAAAATTATATTTGGCATTTCCATACCCTTGAGCATGCCTAAAGTAACTCTTTGGATGTGGACTATTTTGTCATTAAATTTTCTAACAACCCTGTAACATGGAACTATATTAGCTTCTCATTACGAATGTGATAGTACCTTGCCTAGGGACATCTAGTGAGTTTATGTTTGTGTTTCAGGTGGACATTTCAGTCAGGGGCCTTCAAATTCATTCTTAGCCACTATACTTCAGCAACTTGGTACATCATAGCATGGCTGGGGATGTTTTTGTAATTAGATCATAAATATAATTTTATGTACAGCTTTAAGTAAATTAATAGTATTACTCTAATTTTGTATCAGAAAAGAATATCCAACTTTTAAAAACTGTCCCTTCAGGAGATAAAAGGGATGGTAAACAGAAGAAGGGCCTTCTCAGTGGCTGCCCCTCAACTATGAAACAGGCTGCCCAAAGAAATTCGCCTGGCACCAACTTTGTTTTTGTTTTGGTGTCAGGCAAAGAAGTTCCTTTCTCTGAATATTTCCAAGAACAGTCTTGAAATTTGCTATTTATTCAACATCTGTTTTGCTTACTGGGTGTAATTGTGATATTTGTTTCTTAATTTTTATTGTGATTTTAACTGGTTTTATGTTATTTTTTAGTATTTTACTGTAACCAGTCTAGAGATTAGTGGGCAGAATACAATTTTTTGCCAATTATATTTATTTATTTATGCAAAGCTTTTATAAACTATTCATTTAGCAACCAGCTTTCTGAATGGGTGTGGGTTGCAATCATGTAATGCTAAGAGTAAAAGTGCAAGAAGTTTTTCCACTAGTGCTTGCATATTCTACTAACAATTATGCAAGTGCAAGCAGTATTATATAATAAAGTAACAAGTTGTAAAAACACACAGTGGCTTATGCAAAGGGAATCAAAGTACTGAATTTGACATTTGTTGTGAACCACCCAGAGCTTTGATTACTGGATGAAATAAAATTAAAAAATAAATAAATTTACACATGAATGAAAATGCAGCTTTCTTCTTGTAAGCATTAGAAACTTCACTAGCAAAATGGCACAACTGGATACATTCACACTATCTGCATTTGGACTGTATACTGTAAGAACAGGTTTGTTAAGACTACTTTTACATGCCTAGTCTTTTTCTTTTTAAAAACAATCTAACCATCTTTGCCTACAATGTTAAAATCATTTAATGAATGCATTCAAATTGCTTGAGATAAATGCATAATCTCATTAAATGTATAAATCAGACATCAAAAAGATGTATGGGTGCTCTTGCTGGTCTTCTATGCATATCCGTGACTTTTTTCCCTGTAATACTTACCCTAGCAGAGCCCTTTTAATGGACACACAATATGTTACACTGTGCCCAACCTCACCTACTCTTTCTTTTCTCAAAAGACAAGGCACATCTGCCACCTGCTCTAGTTGGAGTCCCAGAAACAACTGTCGAGTAGCAAAAGATTGATTATCAGTCAAATACTATTGCAGTACACCAGATTTTGGTAGGTTAAGCTTGCTGATCCAGCAAGAGTTGGTGTGAAATTTTCAGCAGTGTGTGCCAACATTTTGGTGCTAAAGGAACAGCAGTGCATGTCATGATGAAACACAGCCAAAAGATGCAGACAAAGCAGAGAAGTTTTTGTTGGGTGCAATTGAAGTAGAGGTACTTAAAAAAAAAGAAAGCTTTATGAAATTGACAATGCCAACAACCCATTAATATGCTTAGGAAAGTAACGCTTCACATAAAACTATTACTATACAAAAATAATTATATCATCAGATTCAGGAGAACATCTCATAATGTATGAGGCAAAGTGAATATTGATTATCACACTTTACTTGTTAAAATGGCAGGATAATTCACTTTTCCTACAAGAAGAAAATGACAATAGATTTTTGGCTAAATATCTTCTCTTCTACTTATTGAGTTAATAGACTAAAACATATTCAATGGATCATTTGGACTGTATTCAAGAAAACTGTCATATCATCTGTAATACTGCACTTTATGCATAATTCATGAGTTACGGGTTACTTATTGCAAAAATAATTTCTTCAAAGCATTGCAGAAATAAATATAAATTATCTGGCTCAACTGGTGGATTAAAGGTAAATGTCCACATCATTCTAAAATGTTTATATGCTTTTTAAAAAATATATTATAGGCACTGCTGTGGCACCTTTTGCATGAAACAATTACTGTTTTGAAGCATAATTTGCTCTTCTTACAGTAATCTATTCCTTCAATATAAACTCAGCCATGATTTTCATCCCAGTCTTTCACCATACATTGCAAAAATATTCAAACACGAAAAGTTTGCTCTTAATGGCATATTTAAATACAGTGAAATTGTTTTACAACAGAATGAATATTTGTTTGTTTGTTTGTTTTTTAGAAGGCTAGAAAGTCCTAGAGCTTTATAAGAAAAAAAAATCCAACACCACCTTTCTCTTCTAAAACACTCTACTTTGGATAATAAAACTAGGTCAACTGCATTATTGCTATTATCCAAGACAATGTATTTTCTTAATGATGTGGTATTGCAGGTTGTTTACTAACTCTTTGATTGATTCCATAAGGTGGAATAACATGAGTATTATTTAGGTAACGTTTTTGTTCAAATCAATAAACATTCATTTGCCACAAGTTTTACTCCATAGCATTTTATAATTTTATATTTTATTCTTAAGTACAAGTAAAGACATATTATAAAATTTAGCAACGAGTCAATGAGTTCAGAGTGAATTTTCCATTTCAAAATATGTTAGAAAAGGAACACACATAAATGCATGTGTAACTTTGGAGTGAATATTCCACACTGTTGCATAAAAAGTCTGATAATTATTTTAATGCTTTGTCTTAATAAAGGTTAAATGACTAAATTAATAAAGCACTCAAACTCTGAACTATTTTTTGCTAGTATATTAAGCCTAATGAATTGTGTCTGTTAGATGTCAGTGAAACTAAACAGTAAATTCAATAATCTCTGATTTAATTTATTATATTTTCACCATTTAACCTCCTGCAGGCTCCCTAATGTCTATTCAGATCTATATTAAATTAAGCACCAATGCTAATGAACGGCAATAAATGTGGCTGTCAGTAGATTTTTCTTTCATTAGGCACATTATCCTCTTACTGAGCTGTAAATGAGTAAACATTAGTTTTGTTAAACCATGCAAAAAGACAGGATGAAAATCATTTTTAATTGCACCCCTTAAGCCACTGACTGTGGCATTTTTTACCTTTAATTTTTTTGAATGGATTTGAAAAGGGTTCTCCAGTTGAAATATAAACATCAGCATCATAGGGTATGTCTATAGCATCCATGGCTTCAGTGCCGTCTGCCAAGAAGACTCGTCGTGCAGCCATATTCAGCTTCAGCTTTTCAGTGCACACCTCCAGCAGCTAAACGAACACAAAAAGGTAAGAAAAATAAATACCAAAATCAATTACTACAATTTACTTAAAATAAAGAATAAAAACACACCTATGGCACTTTCCTAAATATTGTATATATACATCCAGTTGCCAAATATGATCTATCAGTGTTAATGTTGGATTAAAATAATTTATAGAATCTCCACATTCTATATTAAACTCGACAGCTTCTATGTGATCTAATTTAAGGTAAACTTGTAATAACTATGTTTTACAACTGAGAAGTGGTTCATTTGCAAATAAAATATAGATTCTTTAAAAACCAAATTGAAATAAATACCTACCAAAATATGTTAATACTTACCAGTTTGATGGAATGTGGTACAGTAACTTTAGCAAATATATTTATTGTACCATTCTTATAAGCAGTTACTCTGAGTATCTGTGGCTGTTGTTTAAAAATGTGGGGTACTTCAGAGGCCTTCTGGGCCAAGTGGAATTTGGAAGGAGGAAAATGTTGACATCTGTTGCAAAACAATTCCAATTCAGCTAAGTTAGGTGGATAATAATAACTAATTTTCAAGAACCTATACCAAAACTACATGTTATTTAATATAGTTTTCCTCAATAATTATTCAAGTTGCAATATTTTATATTTTAAATGAAGATAAAAATATGCTTCTTTTTCTAAATATATTTATTAACTCAGTTATGATTTCAATTGCTATGCCATGTATAAAACCTCAGGTTTAAATTGCTCCTGTGGAATTTCTCCTTACTATACATACCACAACATTCCAAACAGATGTTAAAGACTTCACTGCTATTTGTCTTCTTAATGTCAATTATGTGCAATCTGATTAGTAATAACTTTTTCTTTCTATTTTGACATTCACAGTCTTCTTCTGCTTCATTTAAAAAACCCCACAGTATTCCTTTGACCAAAGCAGAACTACAGTGTGATTGTGTTCACACTGACTTGGAAGTAAGCCTGTGTTCAGTACAGCTTACACTGAAAAAAGTGGAATCAGACCACAGTTTTTAGTTCCATTGACCTCAAAGTGGAACTGAAAGAATGCACTGAGTACAACTACATAAAGCCTGGTTGATTTAAATATTCATTTACACCACTGCAAGTTAGATTTTTATGTTATGATCAATATTTTCTGGGGTTTCTGTGTGCCACACAATCAGCTTGTTTTGTGAATGCATCTTCCATGCAATCAGCTTGTTCTGAAATAAATGTGCTTTTTTGCTATTTGTAGTGTACAATTTAGAAAGTGAGTTTGTTCTTCAGCTGTATAAGGAAATAGCCCTCCTCAGATTTGTTTTAGTAGCCAGGCAATTCCCATTGGTCAAAGAAGGCAGTGCTGGTATGCTCTATTACTGGCTTTTTGTTTAATGTGTGGTAAGGCTCTCTCCTTGCATTTTTGAGCTTTTAGTATTTAATGTATTGTGGGAAATACATGGGAGAAGAGTGTTCCTCACTGTCATCTGTTGTTACACGAAAGCAAGAGCAAACAGCAACATAGATTCCATAGCATGACAATCCTGCCATCTAATTTGTACGGATGAGGTATTAAACTAGTGGCATGGGATAAGAGATTGGTTAAATATTTACATATAACTCAAAGAATGCAATATAGCTGGCGTACAGTTTGATTATATGGAAAGGTATTCTCTTGATAATGCCCATTATAAGACGTTTCAACAATTTCAGTAGAATTCACTGTTCCACTGCAACTATATTCAAGCATTTGAATGTATATATATCATATCATCTCTTTCACACACACATGCTCACAAGGTCCCTATTTTTAAATAAAATAGCAAAATTTCCTATACAGGATGCATTTCAGTGAAAGGATGCAAATTTCATGCAGGCTTATCACCTGCTGATCAGGTATGGATATATCAGATATGGGTCAATGCATTCACCAGAATACAGAATTCGCCTTTCACTGGCAGCAAAACAACTTCATGTATAACAATCTACATGTGACTTGCTGACGTCTTCATACATATAAAAGCTTCTCAAATAAGTCATTTTATCACATTATAGCAGTTGTGTGAATGACTAAACTAGCAATCCTAAGCATACTTACTAGAAAATAGCAGCAAATACAGAGGGACTTACTTCTAAGTAAACTTACTTAGGTTTGTACTGCAATACTACTAGGTGCCATAAATACTGCACTGCCTTTTATTATAAGTTTAAGCCTGTCAATTGAATAATCTTTGAGTCAGTTGAAAGGGAATAGAGCAGCAACAGTCATAGTTAAAAGGAATATGGAACAGCTTTGATTACCTTAGCTGACCTGGTGGAGCACTGGCAGGTCTGTTTCTCTTGGATGATGATATAAGGCAGAAATTGTTTGTACTATTTGATTTGTAGCTGACTAGTTCTGATATTCCATCACTTCTCTGAACTGATTTTATTTGATGTGTGGAACCATCTTGAAGCCCTGACCTTCCTGATACTACTGTTGATTGCAGGGGACTCTCAGGGCCAAGTAGAGGCTTTCTTTGCTTTTCTTCTGTTTTTTTAGCTGTGAGATGCTCTTTCTGGAAGAAAAATAGCAAGGGAAAACCATCCTGGTTTAAGGTTACGTGGAAAATACAGTCATACACTCATGCTTGAGAAAATGAATTTAGTTTAATGGAAATGATAATTATCTAATATTAAAACAGGCAGATAATTTTAAGACAGGGAGAAGAATAACTGAAGGATTGAGAAATTATCACAACATTGTCAAGAAGAAAGAAGATATCCAAAGCACATTTTAGTTATTTTTAAAACTTCTTGATATGATCAATATATTTGCTATACATATATTATCTATTAAAATGTGAGTAAAGATACGCTTTTTAATCTTCAACTCAAGGCAGATTTACTGGCTCAGTTCAGAAATAACCAACGAAGCTTCTGTATACTGGAATGTTCACACTAACTGCACATGAACTGCAGATACCAATGGCTCTGATAATGTCCAAACTAAACTACTGATATATGTTGTATATAGGTCTGCATTTGAAGATTACTCGAGATTTTGACTGATTGACAATACAGCTAGTACAGCGCTGGTTGGACTCAGAATAAACCACACTAGTCTTTAAACAGCTGTACTGACTGTGGGAACATTTCTGAGCACAAATTAAAGTATTAGTTTCAGCTTTTAAACAAGACATGCATGACCCCCCCCACCCCAAGCTCCCTTGTGGCTACCACTGACTCCTAGCAATACGAAGGTTCAGGTATAAAAAAATCTACTACCTGCTACATAATAGTAAATCGGTCATATTTAGCTTGAGAATAAGCTAAACTTAACCTGATTACCACTTTGGAGTAATATGCCACAGGGGATTCCGGGGGGCACCAGCAGGAATCAGGCCCATGAGGTATCCAGGAAGGTAAAACATGGCCCCCAGACTCCCACAGTTGCCCAACTTTATTTTAAAGCCTATATAGCTTAGGACCTGGGATCTAAGGGACTACCTACTCCCAATGTGAATTTGTGATCTTCAAACACCCAAAACCCATTCTCATCTCAGAGTTTAAGATGAAGGGTGGCGCTGGATTTGCATGTTTGCATTAGGCACATAAATGCCTCCACAACTCATGTCACAAGAAAGGATCAACTCTTCTGCCTCATAAAGAGATTAAAAAGCAGTAGGTATATCCAGCCAAATTTTGGTCTGGTATCAGAGGCCGTATAACTATATATACCTGTTGCTGGGGAACTTGGATAGGAGGGTGCTGTACACTCATGCTTGTGGGAGCCCATGGACAGCTGGTTTGCCCCTGCATGAACAGTATGTTTGACTAGATGGATGACTGGTCTGCTCCAGCATTGCATTTCTTATGTTTAGTCTCTTTGATTTCAGTGCAATGGTTAATCACAGACTAAGAATACTTTGAACTAGAATAAACAGCAACAAAGGGAGAGAGTGGAGATAACTATGAATGTGTGTTGACCATGGGTTTGCTTCTTTTCAATTTGGTTTTATTGCATTAGTGACTCAAAATGCTGGGGATAGATGTGGTCTTAGTGTGTGTGTGCAAGAGAGAGACAGAGAGAGAGAGCAACCCCACTTGTACATCTTACCAGCTCCAGTTCCCTAATACAAACTTTCTTGTGTGCTTCCGCTGTGCAGCACTGACCAGGGTAACTTGTCAGTCATTTCTGATCTCTTAAGATCTTTCACTGGCCAGTGCCCTGGAAGAACTCAGAGATCAGACATGCCTGTTAAAATATGCTAGTGGGCATTCTTCTCTGCAACTGCTTAGTGCTAGCACTAGCAGAGCAGGAAGTATGAAGCAACTAGGACCAGGCAGAAAATTCTTTTTCCATTGTCGACCTGCCTGGTTGCAATATATGGCCCTATATCCCTGACCTCCGAAGAAAAAAAGACCCCTTAATTTGGTCTTTATTTGGGTTCAGTCTAGACAAAATGTACACTCTGTGTATGTGGGGTTTGTGGGGGAAGTGGCTATCAGGCAAAGCCTGCCTAGTGAGCTCTTTGATTAAAAATCCTAAAGGGTGGTATACACCCTTGCTTTTCTGAGTGGCAAGGTGATTTATTTCTGATGAATTTTAAAGACTATTTGTGAATATTTATTTCTTCTCCACTGCTTTTTAGTCATGTCTTTAAAGTTAAGTCTTCAGTTTCCTCTTTGAAATGGATTCCTGCTGTGTAGTAGCAAGATGTGGGCTCAAAGCACTACATGACTGTATTAAGGATCAGATCCAAACCCTCTCTTGAAATCACAGTGTCAACAGACTTGCATATCATCTTCAGCATGAAATGGGCTGGTTCCACCTTCAGTGACCTGCCCACCAGCCTCAGTCATCAGCCACTACTGCTGTGGAATAAGTATCCCACATAACGCCCAGGGACAGGAGAAATTGTGAGTTTTGAGTGAAAAGTGGTCCAGGTTCATACACAAGCTGGAATACTTTGGGAATGACAGAGAATGCAGGAAGATTTGATTTGGGATTAGTAGTAGAAAACCAGAATCCCATACATGTCCAAGAGTAACATGGCTAAAAATGAACTGGGTAAATGAATTAGAAAGTGAATTAATGACATAGATTGTAATATGAATAGTGTAAATTTATTAATTTATATAATCTTTGTTGTTAATTATTCAACAATCATTTATATAATTACTCATATATATTAATGTATTAATAAACATTTTCAAAAGAGCAAACTAACTTGAGAAGACAACAAACAGATGCTTAGTTATAAATACTATCTTTATACTTTTAATAACTTTTGAATGGTTGCTATTTCTTCTCATAATGCTTTTAAGGTAATTGTACATTTTTCACTGCTGACTTTTAATGTAATAAAATGTATGTTCAGAGTTATAAACTGACTGGAGGCCATTTTGAGGGCTGAGAGGTAGACTATAAATAGTTTTATACATTAATTTAAAGAAATTTTTATTGCAAAAATAAGAAAGAGCTTAATGATTTTGCTGGATCAGACCAAAGGTCCATCTTGTAAAGCAACAGTGCCCAACCAGATTTCCCTGGAAAAATATCAAACAAGGCATGACAAAGATATACTTTCCTCCGTTTTGTGTCCCCCACCATCTGGCAATCAGAGCTATACCGTCTGTGAAAACAGAGATTCCATCTGTTGCAATCATGGCTAATATCTACTGACAGATCCATCCTCCATAATTTTGCTTGATGTCTGAAAACAATGTTTTACATGTGCATAATTCATCTTTTTTCATGAATTGCTTTGGCAGAGTGTGCATTGAAAAGTTGAAAAGGTGCAAAGTAATTGTGTTTAGAGGGTCAGCAACCTTTCACTCGGGAGTCCACTCTCTAAATCTGTCTTCTCCTTTAAAAAAGCATTAGTGATGACAATCAAAAAAGGGCTGTTCAAAATGGTGAACTCAAGGAGTCTGCTCTCCAAACCTATTTACAGACTGGCACCAGACCTTCCTGCCACTGTTACGCTCTATCCACTCCAAATTTGTAGTGGCAGCAGCAACAACTGGGGCTTCATAAAGGCCCAGATAATACTCAGTAGTCGCTCTGTGAACATTTCCTGTAGTTCTGGGCACTGGCAATGCTTTCACAAGCAAACATGCTTTCTGAGTGATCGCACCTGCTAAAAATGGATCTGCAGCAAGGGCTCCCATTCAAACTGCTACAATGTATAAGTTTTAGCAAAAAAGGTGTGGGAGAGTTCTCAGGGAGAGTATGGGGAGCTCAGAGGCCTTCAGAACCAATCACCATCCCAGTCCCACAGTGGGAGTGTTGTAGGACCTAATTTTAGAATGGGTAAGAAAAAAACCCTACCTTTATGACATTAGCAACCATTCGAACCATGGGGAAAGTTGCTTTCAATTAGTTGATTTGCTGGTTTTTATAACATACTCTCCAATAATTGTTCTCTAACAACTTGCTGATTCAGCAAACAGTATTCCTCACATTAATGGGGGGAGGGTGCCATGTGTAAGACTCATAGATGTGAAAGGTCAAGAATAAAGTGGCATGTAGAAAAGAAAAACCAATAAGTACAGTGGTGCCTCGGCTCACGAACTTAATCATTTCCACGACTCTGGGTGCTACCCAAATTGGTTGCGAGCCAAGTCAAATTTCCCCATAATGTTCAATGTAAATAAGGTTAATCCATTCTGTAAATATTTTTTTAATCACAAAAATTTGAAACAAAGTTACAAAGAACAACAAAGTACAGTAGAGAACACTAACCTAATTGTGGGGGTGGGAGGTTATTGTTTGGAGGAGAGTCCAAACCATAATCGTGCAATAGCAATCGGGTTCAGGGGGGGAGATGGCTGTGATTGTGCTCAGGCGGGGGGAGATGGCACGATCGCGGGCACACTGGGGGGAGACAGGCACAATCACGCTCACGCTTGTGCAGGGAAGATGGGCGCTATCTCCCCCCTGAGCATGATCACGGTCATCTTCCCCCCTGAGCAAAACCACAATTGTGCCTGTCTTCCCTGCACGAGCACGACCGCAATCGCGGCCATCTCCCCACCCCCTGAGCACGATCATGCAGGGAAGAGGGGCACAATTGCAATCATCACTCAATGTGGATTTTGTGACCTGAGTCAAAATTTTTCTGAAATTTCTGTTCACAACCCAATTTGGTCGTGAACTGAGGCGTTCGTGAGCCGAGGTACCACAGTATTCCATGTATATTTTCACCATTTGGTGGGCTTTTCTTTAATCTTCATTAATTAAAAAGTCATTTGTTATTTCCTTTCATCACATCTTGAGATACTTAATAACTTATGCTTGTTATGTGCTACATTAATAGTTCCATTTATTTGTCTTGACCCTACAATCCTATGCAGGTTCAGACAGAAAAACTCATAATCTCCAGCATTCCCCAACCACCCATACTGACTGTACAATAGTTGTAGGACTTTTTTTTCCCATTTCTACATTTACAGGATGGTCTTCTTAATGTCTTAGATTCATGATAAAACTTTCTAGTCAAACCAAACCAAACCAAACCACATACCCCTAAAAGCATCAATGCTAAAGCAGGTGTTAACAACTCTGAGTGTT